TATACTACAAAGCTATAGTATTCAAACATTATGGTACTGGAAATAAAATGGACACATAGATCAATGGAATGGAATAGAGAGCCCCAAAATACTAGTAAACCCACATATATATGGTTGATTAATCTTAGTATACTTTTAGTGTTGATCCTTACTATTATGCTGTCTCCTTCATGCCTGAAGTTGGTCATTTGTGTCTTCTTTTTCTTCTCAGTCTAACTAGTAGTTTAGTAATTTTGTTGTTTTATAAAGAGACACCTTTACTTGTTCTCTATTTTCTATTTCATTGAGTTTTTGTGTATTAGTTATTTCCTTTCTTTGTCCTACTTTGCTCTTTTTTTTTTTTTTTAAAGTTTCTTCAATGGAAGCTTAGATTGTTGTCTTTATTCTTTCTAACACAGGCATTTAAACCTATAAATTTCTCTCTAAGCATTGGTACAGCTGTATTCCATATATTTAGGTATATTGATTTCCATTCAGTTCAAGATATTTCCCGCCTGCCTCCATCTAGTTTGCTTTTCCTGGAAGTGTTGAGTAATTGTCCTGGAATTAATATCCAGAGGACTAAAATATATTTTCAACCATGTGTTTAGTTTATGCCTAATAATTTTAATAAATCTGATTCTTTTTCTGGGGTAATAGAATATATGTTATTTTTTGTTTTTTCATGTGTGGAATTTGAGGCTAATAATTTTTTTATCTAAGGAATGAACTATAATCAACCTTTTTCCTATTTTTGCCAGTGTAACACCAAATTACAAGTGAAAATCTTGAGACAAATTAAAGTACTACATTTTAATAGTATTTCAAATATAGGATGGGATATATATAGTTTTTCTCAAGGTAAATAAGTCTTAAAATATTGGGGCTTTTAAAAATCCTAGCGTAGGGCCAGCAAATAGGTAATACTCTCCTCACATGTCCAGATAGATTGTTAACTGATCATACATAGCACCGCTTCTGTCAAGGCAGATGTATAATTTGAATATTTTTCATTAATTTCATTTCCAAGTAATTTAATGAACCCATTTTTCCAGTAAATAGCTTATGAAAGTCAGAAACAATAATGGGTCAAAATGTCTCTGTTTTTAATATAATTAAACATTTCTATATTCTTTTTTCAGAATTATTCTCTAATACTACTATGAAAATATATTGAAGGTCTTTTAAATTTTAAAAACATATAATACCTCATAATTATATTCATTAGACTCACTGTTTTAATAAATTTATGGAAATGAATTTTAATATTTTTAATATTTTGAAAATTCAAAGCTTCTCAAAAACAGCATTTAGTCATAATTAGCATAATAAGTATTTGGATTAATATTGTATTTTACACCTCATATAATTTCCTCTTAGCCACTTAAATCATATGTAATTTAGAACTTGGTTCACTTCAAAATTTGATTTTCTCATATACTGAAGAGAATTATTTACTGAGCAAATTAACACTGTAATTATGAGCAGCATTTTGTTGTTGGTTCAGTTAAGGAACTGAATTATTTTTAAGAACATACATAGCATCATTTGCAGATATAAAATTAATGTACAGATGAGCCTCATCAAATATTAAAATATTAAAGCTGTCTCTACTTTGAAAACATTTTTTAGGCTGTCAGTTTATATTCTTATAAACTTTGAAACCAATTAAACCACTTTTAGTTTTAAGTTCTCACTGACATAGGTCTTTCACTAATTCATAGTGGCCTGCTCCCTCCCCTGTTATCCATCAACTTGTGTAGATTATCAAATATATCCACGCATTCGACATTTCCTTCCTTAACATTTATGATGACTAGTGCAAAGGTTTGTCTTTCCTTTTTCACTGTGGGCCTTGAAGCCAAAGTAAGCAGATGTTGCATAATACTGAGCTCAACTATCCTGGATCAAGAAGGATTGGGGGGTGGGAAGAAATCAGTAAGGTACTTTCCTGTGGGAATACCCCATAGTCTAGTGCCAATGTCATTCTAATTCACAGCCTCGGACAATAAGGAATTGTCTTTGTTTCTGCAGTATTGCACAGACAATTTCTAAGATTTTTTTTTTTAATTTCCTAGGAGAGATAGACTCTTCTCTGTCATTTCTAATGTGATCCATTCCCACTACTTTTACCTTTGTTCAGGAGTATAAGTGTAAAAATTAGCTAATTGAAGCAATGGACATAACTTTTCTATTCCACATGCTTTAATAAATATAGAAAATGGTCTTATTATCTGTAGCTTACTGTAAAAACATGTTTTTTATGATTTTCCAACACAATTTTAATAATCACCCTTAATCATGAAAATGTGTTTTTATATTTTTATATAAAAATAAAAATTGTTTTCAATATACTATTTTACTTTTCTATATGTATATTGTCTCTTTTTCTATTTATTATCACAGAGAAAAGTTCCCATCTTTGTAATTTATCTTATTGATTAAAGTTCAGCCAAATTAATAGCTAAATGAGACTAAGTAGGAATCAAGAAAATATTTTTAAAATAAATTTATCATTCTTTCACACATGCTTTAAAGGATTGTACAAACTATGGAACTATCGTATGGAAAGCTGTTACTTTAATGAAGTTGCTTGTATTAGGCATCCAGTAATTTGATTTTTTTTTTCCCTGTCACATCCTTTTTTCTCACTTATGCCCCAAAATATTTAATATATCTTGTTGAGATAAACTGACCTATTCATTTTTATAGAACTGCATTTAGGTGGTAGAACAATCTTAATAGCTAGGTATTCTGTGATTTGAAATTTTTCCTGTTGTTCCATTGATTCTATTTTGAATACTGTTAATGTTATTTTGTTGTTCTTATACTGTTACTATACAATAAACTATTGTAGCATAATTAAGAAACTCAATAGAAGAATGATTTTTAAGATGCTAACAATGGACCTATCAAAAGCAAAAGCAGCTTGCTTACCTAACCACTCTGTAAAGGAAAGTGTTTAGTGATTAAATAATGAAGGTAACAAAAATTAATTGTTTATTGATGGAAAGCCTTAACTATGAATGAGAGGGACCAAAGAAAAAAACAAACAAAACAAAACAAAACAAAAAAAACAACTGAAAGAAATAGACATAGTTGCATTGAGCAGAGGGAAAACTGTAAAAAAATTGTGGGTATCCTCAGAAATAAGAAAATACATTGGATCTCTAAAATGAAATCACTATGCTTTGAAAAGGAAACTTGGAGAAGGAGATAAATTTAAAATATATATTCAATTAATTTTTTTTCAGTAGAAGAGTTGGAAGACAAAATCAACTAAATTTTCCAGAAAGTGGAATAAAAGGACAAAGATTGAAAATGGTAGTGGAAAAGCTTAGAGTCTCAATTCACCAATTTCATCATTTGAAGGAGAGTCATCCCAGAGACAGAAAAAAATGATGTTAGCCCAGCCAGTGTTGCTCAATGGTTGAGTGTCAGCCTATGAACCAAGAGTCAATGCCCTGTCAGGTCACATGCCCAGGTTGCAGGTTCTATCCCCAAGAGGAGTCATGAAGGAGGCAGCAATGAATTATTCTCTCCCATCATTGATATTTCTATCTCTCTTTCCCTCTCCCTTTCTCTCTCAAATCAACAAAAATATATTTCAAAAGAAAAAGAAAGAAGTGATTTTAAAAAGAACATAGATCTAAAGAACATGACTCTTTAGATTGTATCCTATACAAAAACTTAAATATCTAATGCAAGGCCTATTATCATAAAATTTAAAATCACTAAGAATTAATTTAATATCCAAACAGCTTTCAAAAAGAGAGTGGGGGACATATGAAGAAGTGTGCCTCAGAGTAAATCTATACACCTTATCAACCTTGTTAACTTAAAAAAAGTTCCGGGGGGAACATTATGAAATTTGGGTGGCTAATACTTTTCATTTTGGAATGCTTTGTACATCCACAATCAGTCATAGATTGAGAGTTCAGACATTCTAGGACAATAACAAGATTTTGCTAGCTCTCTTTTTTAATGACACTTCTGAAAGAATGCTCCTGCAAAATTAAGGAGAATAGAATAATCAAGAATTAAGAGGACATGGGATCCAGGAAAAAAACCCACAAAACACCAAGGAATAACATTCAAGTATTACAGCTGCTTTATTATGAATGCAACACACACTTGAAGAAAGTAGAAGTGGTATTTCTAGAGAGGATGGGAGGGAGGGTGGAATGGAACTGGTCAATTATATAATACTAGAAGCCCAATGTACAAAATTCCTGCAAGAGTAAGTCTTCGCAGCCCTAGCTGCCTTGGGCCAAGGCAACAGCCCCAGGGACTGCCTCTGCTCTCACAGCCCCCACTTCATCTGGAAGGTTGTCAGGACGGTTATTCCACTGTTCAGCTGTTCAGTTGATTTGCATATTATGCTTTCATTATAGTAGATATTGAATGATTAAAAAATAGTTTTGGTTTTTGATAGACTTGATGAAGTTTCTGGAAACATTAGCATAGATACATAATATATATAGAATATTGAGAAAAAATTTTTAAAAGAGACAACTATTAACTTTATATGAAAAATTCAATATTATGATAAAAGAAACTTCATGATAGTATACCAGTTGGCTCTGCAATGAACAATATCTTTGAAGTTACACCAATGAAAATACTATTAATTTTACCCAAAATTGTGCATTATTGTATAGTGAAGTGAAGGGAGGGATAGAGTAGTTTAAAGAGCTAAATCTTCATTTACCTTAATAGAGAAGTCAGTAAATATTAGATTAAAATAAGTAAATCTAGAAATAGTAGGAAAAGTATCTTAAAATAGAAAAGAACAAAGAAACATCTTAAAAATTAAAAATGGGTATCTCTTGCAGATGACAGGGGTCCACTGTTTTTCATAAATTCTTAGTATTTAGGGCTCTTTAAAAGTATTTGCAAATATCTCTTTCCTGAAAGTAAAGTTAAATTTTAGAAGGAACAATGGTATTTAAAATATCAGGGAAGTAGAATAATTATAGATTGCAGTAGAGTTTTTACATTTTTGTCTCATTATTTTTTAGAGTTCCTGGAATAACTATTGCTACAGATATTATCTGTGGTTTTCCTGGAGAAACAGATCAAGATTTTCAAGAAACAGTGAAACTTGTTGAAGAGTACAAATTTCCAAGCCTCTTTATTAACCAGTTTTACCCAAGACCAGGAACTCCTGCTGCAAAAATGGAACAAGTTCCAGCACAAGTGGTAAGATCGTTTTCTATAAGGTATTGTATTTGGCCAATAGCTATAAAAATGCCTCTGTGTTGCCTGTCTTAGAACACTTGGCTTACATTATAAAAGATGGGGAGTTTTCCAGTTGGAGTCAGGAGGGGACCTTAGATAAGTTAAATGACCTTAGGCAACTAAAGTGTCACCTCTTTTTCTTCTGAAGGTTCAGGTGACACTGGGAAGGAACATTTTTACTATTAGTATTTGCCTATGTTTATAAAATAAATTCTTGGTTGTTTTAAAACCAGGCAACATTTAAATATCTATGAGCAAAGAAGGCATCATATTTACACTACTTTTTAAGAGACCCTTTCATAATTTGCTTATGGTTTCCATGGTATAGATTTGATGCTATCTATCTATCTATCTATCTATCTATCTATCTATCTATCTCAGGTATGTGCTAATTTTGCAATAAAACTTAATATAATTTTATTCTTACATGATCATAGATATAGTACAGTAAGATGACTTAAAATAAATGTGAAAAAGTTTGAGATCCAGTAAAGGCAAGCTGTTTCCCAGAATGGCCCAGAAATTAATAGTCTCAAACCAATAGTTAGTTTCTACGTTCTATAGCTGAACATGGAAAAACAGAGTCTTTAGAGGAAGTAGAATTTTTTTTAACTGAAAATTTTCTACTTTGTTTCTAGTAACTAAAAAATATGGTACCCTGCCATTAATTTTCTTGAAATGCTTTCATGAATAAATACTAAAAAGTATAACCCAAAGCTTATTGTTTATATGCATGTATATGTATATGTATATGTATATGTGTGTGTGTGTCTTTTTTCCCCCAGTAAAATTGAAGCCAGTATCATTCATTCTTTTCTCAAACTTTTCTTCATTTTTATTTTATAAGTTACCTTGTATACAAGAATAAAAAATATAGGGTTTCCCAAAAAATGTATATACACTTTGAATAATTATACAGTCAGAGTTTATTAACATGCAATACATTATCAAAATTTAAAAGAATCTACAGAAATGAATAATTTTTTTTGTCAACATCTGTTTTCAAACTCATGACTGTTCTGGTCCAGTCACTGCTGTTAATATGAAGCAATGGAATCACAAACACCAAGAGTCATTTCATTCAGTATTTGTGTGCCCTCAATTCATCAACTGTTGCCAGTTTTGTACCATAAACTCTATCTTTTATGTATTCCTATAAAAAAGTCTAGTGAATCAATTTTCTTTGTTCAAAGCTTAATGGTTTTCACCCATTATTTCAAATAAATTAAATCTGAAAAGCAATGAAACTTAAGTGAGTTATCAACCGTTAAAGTATGTACCAGTATACATTTTTAGGGACACTCTATATTTTTGCAAGTAGCTGTTGTTCTTCCATTTTCATGGCTATATAGTATTCCATTGCAAGCCACAGATTGAGAACTGCTAGTAGGGTCGCCTAAGACCATCAGAAAACACAATTTACATTATGATTCATAACAGTAGCAAAATTACAGTTATGAAGTAGTAACGAAAGTCATTTTATGGTTGGGGGTCACCACAACATGAGGAACTGTATTAAAGGATCAAGGCATTAGAAAGGTTGAGAACACTGCTCTAAGGTAAAGACTGATTAATTTGTCTGAGATTGACATTTGGAACTGTTTCTCACTGTCTCAGGGTTGGTTTATTTCTGGTTTGCCTTACCTTTTTAATGCAGCCTGTGTTATGCTGTTGTTTAAAACTGACTCTCAGTAGGAAGTGTTCCAAGTTGTAGCCTTTGCCAATTTCCATGGTGTAAACACTTCCACTGTATCAGTTTCAAGCTACCAATGTGCCATCACTGGACACAGAACTGGGGAGAGATGCAGTCACGTGGCAAAAGCCTGATCCCACATACCACTGAGTAGAGCTCTTCTGTAGGGGGAGCAGGGCCTTTCTTTATGGTGGGTCTTCAACACTGATTTTTGTCTCCCAGGCTCATAAAAATGCGTAAGCCTCTGCATAGTTTTCCAGCCTCTTAGCTTTTGCATGGCTACTCAGCCTCCCAGCAACTACTTACAAATTAATGAGTTCCTGGAAGAGAAGAGTGGCTCCAAGTGTTAAGATAATGGATCTTGGTCCCTCAGGTCATCACAGCCTTCGTGAATTTTGATGTTCAAATAGTACATATTATACATTTTATTCACCTGTTCTTATTGTTTTTGGCAAGATTTTGATCTGATACAAGCTGGTTTGCCTTGGCCAAAAGAAGAACAGAGTTCATCTCCTCGAATCAGCTGCAGATGCTTTGTTTTTGTTCTAGTCTTTTATCTTGAAAACATAGCCCTTAGCATCTCCCTTACAGGTTTAGACTTTAGACACCCAGTCCTGGCATAGTAGAACCTTTTTTCTTTCTTTTTTTCTTTTTTTTTTTTCTCCATATTTTATATTTTAGAACTATGTTAGGTTGACAACAAAACTGAGCAGGAAGTACATAGAGTTTCTATAGATTACCTACTCATACACACGTTCAGCCTCCCCAAATCACCCCACATCAGAGTGGTCCATTTGTTACATTAATGAACCTACACTGACACATCATTATCACCCAATGCCCATAATTTACATTACATGTCACTTTCAGTGTTGCACCTTCTATAGGTTTAGACAAATGTGTAATGGCTGTACTCACTATCTTTATTGTACCATATAGAACACCTTCACTGCTCTAAAAGCCCTCTGTGTCCCACCTGTTCATTCCTTCCTCTCCCATAACACCTGGAAACCACTGATATTTTTATTGTCTCTATAGTCTTGCCTTTTCCAGAGTATCATATAGTTGGAATCATACAGTATATATTCTTTTCATACTGGTTTATTTCACTTAGTAATATGCATTTGAGTAATATCCCTCGTGTCTTTACAGGCTTGATAGCTTATTTCATTTTAAAACAACACAAGTGTATTGTCTCATAGTTTGTGAGACTGGAATTCCAAAGGCAGGCTCCTGCTCCCTCTGTACCATGAACAGGAATCCTTCCTTGCCTCTCCAACCTGTGTGGTTTGATGGTAATCTTTGTTTTTCTCTTGCAGCTGCATAATTCCAATCCCTGCCTTCTTTGTTTCAGGGTGTCCTTATGTTTCTTCCCATGGCTGTCTTCTTGTCAGAACCCCAGTCATATGAGATCAGGGACCCACCCTACTCCTCATCTTAACTTGTTATATCTGCAGTGTGCCTGTTTCCAAATAAGGTCACATTCTGAGATATAGGAGTTAAGACTTCAACATATTTCTTCTTTGGGAGACACAATTGAATCCCTACTACTCTCTGATTTCTGTAATTAGGCTCAAGGTAAAAACTGCAGCCTGAAATAATTTTATCTTTGTATATCTTGAATCTTAAATAAAGAAAAAAGCATTAATAATAAACTATAGAGATCTGCCATGAAAGGGGATATATGATATGCATTTAGTCTTCTTTGTTCTCCTAAATTTATAAAAAATTAATACTGGCCTAACTGTCTCTGGTAGATTATGAAGATGCTTAGCAACTAGACTTCACTAAAATAAAGCATTGCCACAAAATGGGTAGCAATTCTTTCTTATCTAATACTAGAAACCCGATGCACAAAGATTCGTGCAAGAATCTTATCCTGGCTGCCGGCACTACCTTTGCTCTGTCCTGAAGCTACCTTTCCGCCTTCCCATGCTGCCTAGAGACCCAGAGCGGCTGGGGCAGTGCAGAAAACCTCCATTGTCACCATGGCGACAACGCAAGCATCCTGGCCCCCCTCCCCTTGCTTGGCACCTGTATATGTAAATCAACCTGCCATCTTTGTTGGGTTAATTTGCATACTCACTCCTGATTGGCTGGTGGGTGTCACAAAGGTACCATCAGTTTGCATCTTTCTCTTTTATTAGTGTAGATATTTCCAAGTTCCTTGCCCAACAAAATCAACAATGAAAGTAGAATCTAACCCATTATTGGAAGAGCACAATACCATTTGCTTTTAAACAACAGCCTTTTATTCTGGCTTTAGAATCCCTCTTAGTGGAAATATATTGTTTCCTTAGTTATATTTTATTTCTACTAAAATCAAGCCCTTCCCCCAAAATATTTGTTCCATATGAATGACCTGAAATAATTTCAGTACACTTTTCCCTTTTTTTATAACTACTTTTATATAAATACTAGTATTAATATAAGTAAATTTCATTATATTTAATGTTTTATAGTAGAGCTCTGGTAAGTTAACTAAATTCTGTGTTTTTCTTAATCATTTAAATCACCAATGGATAAAGCACCATTCAGTTGACGAGATCGGTTGCATTCAGTGTGGTATGGCCGTAGGCGTACCATTCGGTTGAGTTTGGCACTTACATAGATGGGAGGAGTAGATTTTTGCTAATCCTGCTAAAAAAGACTTATAACTTTCTTAAATTTATAATGAAAATAAATTAGGCAATATATTTTCATGAACAGGGTAAATTTTATTTTTTCTTAACTTTTGCAAGATTATTTATATAAGCAATTTAATAGTGAAATCACCTAAACCAGATGAGAGTGACCTTTGACTTTTAGTTGAAAGGTCAAATTTGCATGTTTATATTTTCTATTCCATTGAGTCTTGCTTCATTAGTCTTCATTTATCATAAATAATTCCAATAGTATTTTTAAATTGTGGTTGAGATTCTTAATTTGCCTAAAAATTGTCCTTAAGTTTAAATCCTTTTGATCCTTATCTCTTTTGACTTTGTCTTTAAGAAAATGTTAATGAAAATTAATAGTCTGATGTAATCTTTATTGTAAGAGATCCATGACTTGAAGAAAATGTTTTTAGACAAGGAGAGTGGCTGTTGGAATGTTCATATAGGTTTAAAATGTAAAATTGTGATATTAAATCCACCTGCTTGCTCATCTTAAGTCTTGGAAACAAAGTGTAAAAATAATATCTTTAAAAAGATGTCAGCATGAAAAAATCATAACACACTTACTTGCAATTTCTAGGCTATTTATCCTAAAGGTAATGAGGCCACAACAG